TACATAAATCACCTCAGATGTGAAGTCAATAGAAATCGTTGTAGAACACAAAACCATATATTAGGCTCACAACGTGGATACATTAATGCTTTGTGTTGTTAAAGTGTTTGAACCTGTAGCTAGCAGCTGACGACCACCTTCACTGGACAACCACCTTTACAGAACCGAGAAATGCAATCTTTGATGAAATGAATTCGTAGGGATGCCGCTGAAAAATGCAATCTTACCAATGATGTTCTTCCAAATTAAGACAAAGTTATACTTTATTTTCCGATCTAAATGATTCTGATGTAAACAGCTAGCTCAGCGTCACGACAAAAGTTAAACAGTTAAACACGGCCTCAGGTTCTGGCATCACATTAGTTAATGCTCCTCACTCCTTTCACAGAGCTTCACCTTAGTCCACCATGTTGTGTTGTTACCCTCCACCCTTTCTCCTTCTCCTCACCCCCAAACATCATATCAACTCATAATGGTTAATATTACATTTTTCAAATGAATCTATAAATGAAAGATCAATCTGTGTGCAGTATATATACACAATATATAATCCTGTCCTCTCCTGCTTTATGAAGATGCTTTTCATCTATATTCTAACCGCTGTCCTTGCTTCTGACCTTCAAATATATTATGGGCAATTCTTCTAATTGCTTCGCCATCTTTGAATTATAGCCTTACTCTAAACTTGAAATTTCACAGCTTCAGCTGCACTCAGACTCAGTTACAAGCCTCGTAAGCAGACTCTGTGCCTCCAATTGACATGTTTACATGCACGTGAACGACCGTGGGCCGTTATAATGCTGGTGTAAAAGATGTGGTGATTCAGCTACAGGCTGGTAAACAATCCTCACCGTGAGTGTGTCTGCAACACAACCCGCCTCCACGCCTCTTTTTCAACGTCTGGAAGTAATCCTCTCCTCTTTAATAAGGAAAGACAGAGGAGAAATTATAAAAACGGACAATTCCCAAATGTGTATCCCTTCACTCCTGCGACTCAATTACCTTGTGGTCCATTTAAAGTCAACATAAGATCCCACGGCAAAGAAGGTGAACACCAAACTTATACTCAACTGGAAAGTGATTTCTAGTGGGAACAAGATAGAGAATTTAGACAGGCATTAAAATACAGAAGCCATATTCTAAAGTTAGTGATTGAACAGATGATAAGAGAATATTGATTATGGGAACAAACAAACGGAAAACTTAAAACATTATTTTCTTTTCCTTAAGATATGAGGAGGAAATTAAACATAAAGAAGAGGGGAGGGGGGGGGGGGGGGGATCTGTGCTGGATTAATGGCTCCTGAGTGCGTAGACCTCCCCAGAGCTGGAGACTTGATTCCCCTCCATTCATCAAGACCTCTTTTCATCCCTCAATCCACATTTAAACCTCCCTTCATCCCTCGGCTCTCTATATTTCCAGTGGCAGTGTCTGTCATCCCTCCTGCTTCCCTCCTGACCCGTCTCTGTTATTGTGCCCTCTCCTCTTAAGACGTTGATTAGTAGGGGACACGGTGATTGACTGCGCTGCCACGGAGCAGCTCATGGTCCACTGTGAGCTGGAAGTGCTTCATATATTTATATCTGGAGATTAAGGATCAAAACGGAGAGGTGGTGAAGGCATAGAAAGGGAACTCTAACTGCTATTAATATGACATGTCTTTACCCTCCTAGTGTTGCTGTGGTATACAGATGGTGCAGGATTGCTTCATGAAACAAGATAGATATGTTCCAGACCTGAAGCTGGATCCGATCTATATGTCCTAAACCCACAGCAGCTGGAAATAGACCCGTTTCTTTCCTTTCAGCCCGTCACCGTAGAGGAAACACTTGCAGCAAAGAAAACACCTTGTTCTCGGTGTCAGACATTAGTCTCCCATGTTTGACGGATGGTTACTGATACCCACACCAGAGGAGTTCATGGTGAGGTGTTCAGAGGTTTGCTTTGATCAGAGCACCTCCTAGTGGCTGCAGAAGCTCAGAGTTGTTCTTCACTCAGCAAACACATCTGGCCACACGCAGTACTTCAGGCTACAAGCTCATCTGTATCACATATGGACGAGAGCAATCTGCTAAAATGAATACACACACAACATGAGGAAAGTTTTAAAAATAAGAAAACGGCCAGTTCCCTTGGAGAGTCCTTTAATGCTTTACAAACAAAACTTGGACAAAAAAGTGGAAGATATATTTCTTGCAATAATAACAACAATCAAAGCGTTTTTTTTTTACATTAACATAGTTCAACTAAGTAGTAGAGATGGCTCAATCGGGTTTAAGTTAAGGTCAAATCCTTTTTCAATACGATATAGTGACTCAAAATGTGCTCTACCAAACTGTAAAAAAAGCTACTCTATATATAAATAATTCAGGAAACGATGTCCTCGCTGCTCTTAATAAAATTGGAAACCGATTTTCGTTCTTGGCTCCAGAGAAAAGGCTCAGTCCCCACGAAGCCCCAAACACACACAGACTTTAATTGACATCATCTGAAAGTGGGGAAACTTTGACTTGAGCCCAGGTTGGCCTCCAGGTGGCGGGCGTATTCCCTAAAAGGCACACGTGAAAAACGGATTTGAGTCAACGATGGAATTTGCTTCCCGTTTTTTTTGTCCAATCAGTTAAAGTTACATTCAAGTTCAAGTTGAATTGCAGTGTCAATGTAAAGCCCTGAGCCAGGTGCCTTCTGGAATAACACTTTGTGTGTGTATGTGTGTATGTTTGTGTATGCGTGAACCTTTAGACAAGTTAGGATGGACCGGGGCTAAGAATATACAAAGTCGAGTAAAAAAAGTAATCTTGACTCTTTCCATGTTTTAACATTTGTGTTAAGTGTTGTGGAATTTATGAAGGAATGTAAAGGTACATGAGGAAGAGTGCTCAAACTGTTGAATTGATTTGGATGAGACGAATGAGAGCAGGTATTCTGGAAACGGATGCTGCTTTTGCATTCTCTAACTGAACTCAATTCACTTCCTTTGTTTAGGGGAACAGCAGAAAGGAAACCTCAACAAACCTCGACCAATAATACCCAAACTATCTGCACTTTTAAATATCCCTTGGACGGTTCCAGATTTGGGGGAAACTGACCATTAAAAGACCTTCCATCACCTTTTGGAACCACCACTTCTCAAGCCGTGCCTCCACCCCGGGGGGCTGCAGAACAGACAAAGACCACAAGAGGGCAGCCAATACTCACCTATGAAGGGTGCAGACCAGGTCTCTGACATCTCACCGGGCCCGTCTGTTGCCTGCAGCTCCTCATTCAAACTGGATTTCACTGTGAAATAGGATTACGTGTCGAGCAATGCAATGATTGAGCACAATTGTTGGGAGTTTAGCAGGAAAGCGGAAGAAAAGGAAAATACACAAACATGCCTTACTATTTGTCATGCTGACGAGTTTTCTGCGAAACGACATTATAAGATAAGTTTATCCTGGGTGTCAAATGATGGGTATCTTAGCCCCAAGCTTTTTTTTTTTTTTTTCAAGTAAGTAAAAAATAACAGCCGTTTCTCTGCCCCCCCCCCCCCCCAAGAGAGTATACAGACTGACGTCCCCGTACTATTGTGCAGGAGTGAAAGTGAACGTATGAATGAACGTGCTCCGTTTTAAAAGGCGTTTTATTGTGGCTGCTGTTTCTTCAGATTGTGGGCCGGGGAGTGGATCTCCCTTTATGTGTCTGCTTTTTCCTCTCCCAGAGAGCTCCCTGATACCGCCGGCAACTGAACAGAGACACGTTTGGCTTCTGAAATAATCCAATAAAAAAGACAGAGAGAGAGAGTGGGAGAGATCGAGCAAAGTCGATGAGCTCATTCCCATCTTTCATCAGCATCTCCTGGTTCATAATCAGCAGCGATGGACGGGTGGGGGAGAGCAGCAGTCTTGAAGACCTCCCTGCAGCCAAACCCCTTTCATGTCTTTGTCACACTGGACTGAAGAGGCCTCATCTGATGACCCCCCTCAGCCCTGACCCTGCATCTCCCGAGGGTCAGGCCCCCCATCGTCAGGCCCCGTCGAGCCAATTAACCCCAGAACTGAGATCAATTAACCCGCTTCGTACGAGCGCTAGCAGATAGCACACCATGCATTATTAGCAGGTACAGAAAAAGAAAAACACCCGATCAGAGGGATGGTTTAAGTTAAAGTAAGAGTGATAAGAAAGGGTCTGTTGGGTGACAGACAGATGCAGACCGGGTCTTTGTCCGTCGTGTCAGACTGAAGAGGAAGCTGCAGAGGAAGACGGGCAAATGGAAAGTCTCCGCGAGACGGACAGAGCGAGAGAAACTCATCTATGAGTCTAATTAAGCAGAAATGGAGCTGTAGGCAGCCAGGGGACCCGCGTAGAGTTATTTTGCATTTCACTCCATTAACCTGCTCCTAATGAACTGTGTGTTGTTGGGGAAAGTCTTTATCAATCACACTCCCACTGGGACGACGGTCACTGGTTCATCGGGGCTCACGGGGAACGTCGATACTCTTCAGCGGGACTCCGGATCACAGGCCGACCGGTGGGGAGGACAAACCGTCGGATAACAAAGCGTGAGTTTTCTCACCACAATAAGTCGTTGTGCACTACGATGCAACGCAAAGTCAAATATGTAGGTATGTTTTTGTGATTTGTACTCACCCAACACTGAAGCAGTTTTTTTTAAACAGGTCTCACGAGAAAACGATGTGTTACGGTTTGGAAACAGATGTTTTTTGTTGTGTAGCTCTGCTGGTTACTGATTCTATTGTCGTTTTACTTGATGGTAAGCAGAATGCATTGAGTAGATGAGATCAGAGAAAGGGTCTGAAAGAGAGAGAGAGAGAGTAAGAGAGAAGAAGGGAGATGCTGGGTAGGTGGAGAGCTAGAGATAAGGGAGGGGAAAGAGAGAGAATGGGGGGAGGAGAAAATACATTTTGTGGCAAGAAAAGTGCAGAGACCGCACACACGTAGGGAGGGAGAGAGAGAGAGAGGGAGAGAGAGGGAGAGAGAGAGAGGGAGGGGGGGGATGTTAAAACGTGAGTTAGTTCTTGCCAGACTCAGCATCGCTCAGTTTCCGCGGGAGGCTGCAGCTCCATCACTCCTGCATCTCCGCTGGCACCAATGAGCAGATCCCATCAACTCAGTTTCCAGTCAGCCCGTTTCACTCTGAGCTGGGATTTCTCGGTTGGTTTGCATGGATAATAGCAGCCTACCGCACATTCATGGATTTCTCATCCCGCAACCAATTTGACTCAAACCCGGGATTGGTGTAAAAGAAAAAAGAAAAAAGAAAAAAAAAAAAAACGTGTGGGACTCCAAGTGGTTTCCGCCGGTGTTTTAGGTTTGGGGAAGCTCAAGTTCTGCTCTGCCTTGGACATGGGACCGTGTGACAGCCGACGGGGATCCGGTGCCGGAGGAAGAACATCTTCCTGAAGGAGGACAATCCCGTGTGCGGGAGTTTTTATTTTTTATTTTTTGTGTGTACTTGCTACCGGGGAGGGGGAGCTGTGGGTTTTACGCGCCGTAATGATGCGTCCCAGCCGCGGCTTCATCCTGCTCCTCCTCAACGGAACCGCTTGTTTGGTGAGTGGGAGTGGGAGTGGGGGAAAAGTCACACTGTCTTTACGCGCCTTTGCACACATTTACCATGTGTGCACCATGTAACACGTCGTGGTCCACCTGCGTCACGGCGAGGTGTCTGCCCCACCATTTCACACCGAAAACTCACAAACCAAAGAATATAAGACGAGTATAAACCATCCTGATAAACATGTGGAAACGGTCACCGCGAGAGCTGAGATGATGCTGCTGGAAATGGTTCCAGAACACCAGACGTGTCGCCTGGCGGAGACCATTCTCGAATGCTGTGCTCACATTCGCTGCTTCCAAACGTTTTTTACACTCTATTTTTGGCACAAACTTCGAATGACGAAGTGAATAACGTTCACGTTGACCCTGCTCGGCTCGGGTGCGCTGTATTCCCAGCGGATACCCGTGCCAAGCGCGCCGTGCCACCCGGTGTCCGTGCGCGATTTAGAGCCACCTCCGACTTATAACCCGACATTCGGTGTCCATGTTTGTCTCCATCGAAGGTGTGTAACTGCAAACGAAAGTCACAGTAGTTGTATTTACACGAAAAGTGAAAATATGTCGCAAGCGGCTCCTTCCAGTGGTTTGCTCAGGCAAGAAAAGAGGCAAAACAAACAAAAGCTTAACGCTTTTTCAATTTTTATGCACAGACTTTACTTCATCACGCAACTTGTGTGAGACAATCCAACTGCTGACATGTGAATTGAACCAAGTGGGTTTACCCTGCACATCTGGCTTAAAACAAAGCACTTAGACCCAAAATAAGTCCCATTCCATAATTTGTTTGCACCTTCGATGAAATTCAAACGGTGCAACCTTGAGGATGCAAAGTAATGCACATGGCGTGTGTGAGACTTACGATAAGACAGAGAGGATGGAGCACAGAGAGGCGAGCAGCTCTTCTGGGTAAAGTCTTTGTTCTGAAGACCCTCAAGATCGTGTTGGATATGATTAATCTGAGGCTGATGAGATAACTTTGAGTTGAAAATTGTCACCACAACCTCTGTTCTCTATTGTGGCAGCTACATAAAAACCACCATGTGTTACAATACCTTCTAAGGACCTCCACTGTCCTGTAACACCAGATGTGTGCATGAACTGCTCTGCAGCCTTAATAAATACCACCCAAATTACATAACCATCCTATCGAATTGGATCACCCACTCCTCCTTTCATGTTCGCTCGCCGATTTATTAAAAAGCATCCTTTAATGAGAAATCAGCTCGTGATTCACATGAGAAAACTTGTACACCGTGCTGCTCGGAAACCCCTGGGCTGAGTATCACAGGGCTCAGGAAATGAGCGAGCTCCAAAAAAAATAAATAATAATAACAAAAAGAAAATGTTAGTGCAGAAAATATCGGAGTGAGGTGGAGTGCCTGTTTGATGCACCCGTGTGTGTCAGCGTCCCTGAAACGATGACCTTGTGGTTTTCATGTTAAAGTCTCCAGGTTCTCACAGGGGGAAGCAATGGGCCTTTTGATAATTTGAGGTCTGACAGACACGCCTCGTAAAAGACTAAACACACAGATTTACTTAGTCGGGAGACAGCTGTTTCAACAGATCTGAGAAAAGAGACCACACGCTGACTTAAAATGTGGGGGGGGGATAAGTGCCTTTTCAGCCCTTGTACAACTAGATAAAAGCGTGTGGGGTAATAGGCTTATATCTGTGTTGTCTCCTTTCTTGCAGCTTCAGGACCACGGCCTATTGTTACCCATAAAATCTGTGGATAATGATAACGATCATTTATTCGGGCCTTTTCCTCTCTCTCTCTCTCTGGACCATGTATCCATGAAAAACATATACATGACGATCCCGGGTAGATTTTTGGCCACGTGACATGGATAAATCATGGAGCAATCAATACATTTAGTAACTTTTCATGATGCAACAGCTTCATGATTGATAACCGTGAAAGCTTATGCATTCAAATTCAATTTGTATGGTTTTCTGTTGTAATAGCTCTGCTGTTCCCTGAGAGGGTTTGGGTCTCGAGGGGCCTTTACCAAATGACTACTGATAGACAACTATTAACACAAGGTGCCACTCCAGTTGTTGTTTACGTGATGAATGTTAATTATTCTCTGTCTTTGAATGGTGGGTTGTGAATAATATAAACCATCTCAGCTGTTTAATTGACTGCTTGAAATTGAATGTTGGCAGCGGTTATTTTTCTTCTGTGATGCTCGGCAAGATGACTGGATTTGTTTTAGTGAATTAAGTGGCTGATATGCATATATCAGGATAATAATAATCTGTGGGATATGTAGGAAGATAGTTTGAAATGAAGTGTCAGTTCAGTTGCGTTTTTTGTGTTAAGCTGCGCCAAAATGTTAAATACAGTTGCAATTAACTCATGTAACTCTCTTATGTTCTTGACCATTTAATCCACTTTAAATTGATTAATTGATAATTAATGGCATATCATGTGATTTTTTTCAAATGACAAAAAAATTGCTGAAAGTGTTCATTAGCAAGCGTCACCATTTAAGAAGCTGAAAAATCCAATGTTGGATTTTGGCTTTAAAAATCACGTAAACGAATAATGAATGATCAGAAAAATGTGCTGTTCATCGTGGCGATGTCGACTGATTAACGAGGCGCTGGTTAATTTATTGATAAACCAATGAAGCAGATCCAAGTTGAACTGTGCTCACATATTATGCAGAGGAAGGCAATAGGAGAGACTTTGACTCAGTGAAAATAGAGCAGATATAGTACAGGAGGAGGAGTGTTGATGAGAGAGGAGACGTGGATAGGAGCTTAAAAAAATAAGTTAAAAAAAACCTGCCTCCGAGGTTTATGCACCTCATTGACAGTCATCACAGCGTTTCCTCCCTTTGCACAAAAGCATTCAAGAAAACAAACTTAATCCACATATAATTACAACCGCAGCGGTACGGCTGAACCGTGTACAGCACGAGGTTGGCAGCCGGGAATCCACACGCCAGCTGCTGGAAACTGGGAGGCGTGAAGGTCAACTATCTGAACGCTTACCAATAGAAAGAACAAAGCGGAACAGAGGGCCGTTGAACCTGACTCCCCCAGTGAACTGCAGACTCTCAGGATCGCCGGGGATTCGGGCACTCGGCTCGTCATACATCCTCATGTGGAGCTCACACGCAGCTGCTCTTTCACACAGGTAGTCTCTCTGTGGCCGTGAGAGACTGGGCGGCTTTATATTCCTCCTGATTGCTTTCAGTGCGCATGCAGACGCTGACCATCGTGCCTGATCCCAGAATTCACCTCCGGAGCCCTGAACACAATGTTGTCTTTTTGCTGATTGAATTTCAATGAAGACACTAGTATGTAGTCCAAGGTTTTCTGTGCATGGAGGTAGTTTGAAAGAAAAGATCACAGTTGTATTATATGGCAAAAAAAGGTTCCAGTGCTGTAACAGTATGTTTTCCACTTGCACCTCCATTTGACATTGCCATCCGCAAGGAAACACGCACTTATTTAACACGTCAATTTAGTGCAACCTCTTTTCTTACATTGAAAGCCTCTCAGAGCCCAAATCCCTTCCACCACAAAGAGGGGATTGTTGTGAGGCTGTACATGGAGCACCGCAGCGATGGGAGCCCTGAATCATAACATCGCAGTTCAACGGAAGAGTCAACAAAAGACACAATTGCAAGCAGAAGTGGCTGTAGTTGCTCTCGAAACTGCACCAGACGGCACGGTGCAACAATGCTCAAACACACACACACACACACACACACGGGGCAAACCGAAGTATTCGTGTGTGAGATTAAAAAGCGGCGTCTGCCCTGCGCTAATTCTTACCACACCTCTCAGTCACAAGGCCTTGGATTCATGCTTCTTGGGGTGAATGCAGTCCTGGCGGGACGGCTGAGCTTGTGCACCCGGACGCAGAAACATCACCTTAATCCTGGGAAAGCAAATGGAGAAAACTAACCGTCTGATACTGCATGCAGGCACACGTGTGAGACAGCAGCAGAGTGAATTTGATTTTCTTGTTTTGTTTTGGACTTTCTCCCTCTTTGACATCACTGTTGCAATCTGCATGTCAGAGCTCATAAGCTTCTACTGTCCCATTTCACGGGAGAGCCTGGCTGCAGAACTGCAGTGGAAGCAGACAGAACCGTTCGTTGTGCTGACGACATCCGTCCCCGTACTTTGCCCCGTCTTTGAGCGGGACGGTGATGACGTCACCGCGTCTTCATCATAGGCAGCACAACAATGTTAGCCATTGTTATAATGATGAGCACACGCCTCACAAAACTGCAAGAGCCTGATCATTTGTGGGAGAAATATTGTATAGTTTCATCTGGTTTGTGATGCAATGGTGTCCATTTGTAGAACAACAATGACGAGTTGACTGTCAACCTAAAATATTTGAGCAACTAATTAATCGTTTTTCAGGATATGAAACATTTGCCGCTGCCAGCTTCTCAAAATGTGTTCTTTCTCTGACTTATATAACGGACAAAATGTGTTTGTTTTTGGATTGTTACCGTCACAAAACAAGCAAAAAGATTTCTGCACGTATTAGGGATTAAACTAAATTACTAAATTCATCAAGAAAATGATCATCAGTTATTTAGATATAGTGAAAATACTTTTTTTAACGGCAGCCTTACCCATTATACGACTGCACATTGTTCAGCTCATACATTATCGTTTCAAAACACTCAGCTCTGCCCATGACATTTAGGAATACCGACTGCTTGTGCCCTTTTATTTGAGGGTCAACATTTATAAAAAAGATCTCACTCAGCGGAGAGTGGACAATAATCCAGGACACGCTGCATGATAAAAGGAACTTATCTTTAGTGCAGACAATGTTGCTGGTGGTGGGGCGGAAAGGAGCTGGATGAAGAGGCGACGGGATATGATGGTGGAGTTGGGGGGGGGGGGGGGGGGGTCGCATCGGCTTGTGCTGACGTGACAACTGACACCTGCAGAGAAGAAAAACACAAAATCTGACTGCAACGGCAGATTGTGGAGAATTTGGGTTTGTGTAAAAC